CACAAATAATCTGTACTTCATCTTCCACTCCAAAATCTCCAGGAATTCACTCTCTACGTCTTACATCCGTCCTGGAAGAAAACAAGTACCTACATGCATATGCACCTATGCGATACTTGTATTGCGGGTAAGATCGGACGACCAACAAAAACCACACACTTAAGAATAATGTGGCCATTTGGCAAAGTAAATGCAGTCTGAATTTTATCTTAAGTAAACTAAATATACAAAATCCAGGGCATACTTTATCCACGAAGTTTTTTTTTCGACGCTTCAAATTTGTTCACAAAAATAATGGTGACCTTTGACCTTTGTGCGATATTAAAAATCGGCGACGAGGAAATTGTCCGTATATACTTTTGAGATTTTTGTGCGGAGTTTGAAATTTTAAAATTTACGCGATCATGTCGATATAACAATTATGTCATCGTAGCATTAAATTTGTTACATACTGTAAATACCTACCTACTTCATCTTCCTTTTCAAGTCCATCTTCTCAATCTTACCAGGAATTCACTTCCCAGCATCGCACTGGTAAAAAACAAGTACCTACATAAATAGATATAGATGTACATCTGCCGTAGTTAATGAATGTATTGCGGTTATGATATTTAGCTCGACCAACGATGAACCACACTCTTAAAAAGAATGCTACCATTTTGAAGAATACTTGGCTGCGCTCTAAATTCTATGTATATTGAGTAAACTTTGACTATATATGTACATAGTATATGTACATAGTTGACTTAATTCCAATAGTTTATTTTTCAGGATGGCAACTTTATTTTTAAGAGTGCAAACCAACCCAACGAATTCGTCATTATCGTAAAATGTTGCTGCTTACTCACCACTAATCATGTAAAATTTACATCCCCTTGTTCCCACTACTATAAAATTTCTTGGAAATCAGGACAGAGTAATTTCTGCGAGAAGTCTGATCCCAAGTAATCCGTCAATCAAAAAGAGCCATAAAAAGCGAAGATTGGCGTTAAGTTGAACCAGATTTTCTGCAGGCTCACTGCACCCTAAATTCACATACATGAATAAATAATTTTTCTATAATCCAGAGTATCTTTGTCTCAATCGGGTGCAATGGTGCGAAATTTTGTGTCAGCGGGTTATATTGTCCTTTTGTGGGTGTCCATGGTAACATGTTGCGGAAAAAGTGGAGGACTACGGTTGGGCATGCTGACAACAATTGATACGGAGCCTTCAATTACCCCGCCGACTTTAAATAATGCAAATGCTGCAACTGATCCGCAACCTTCACACACCCCGCCTAATTCATTTACATCGCCACCGTCAACTACCCCACCGATTTCAAATACTCAAAAAGCTGCAACTTATTCGCAACCTTCAGCCACTTCACTTAATTCACAACCTACAACCATCCCGCCGGCTTCAACTAATCTGAAAACTTCAACATTCCCGCCGGCTTCAACTAATCCGGAAACTTCAACCACCCTGCCGATTTCTACTAGTTCCCAACCCTCAACCCCGCCGACTTCAGCTTCAAGTACCCCACGAATTATAATTAATTCAGTAACTTCCCCCACACCGTCGAGGGTAATCAACTCTACCATGTCGATAAGAACCACCCCTTCAACTCTGCCGATATCCGCTGCAGCTAAAAGCGGCACAAGTTCGACGATGACGCCAATATGCGACATTCTCTATATTTGCTTCTCAATTTTGATTCAGATTTCAATTTACAATGTTATATCTTAAAACAACAATTACCACGTGCTTTCTTTTATTAATGGTATGAATAATGGTAAATATTAAAGATGCGAAAACCCTCATTATGTATTTTTGATTTAAATATGTATTTATTCAATTTTACGCATGCTTGTCCATAAATATGTACATATATAGGTAAATATTTGTCATCAACTTAATTATGAGAATGTGAAGCAACTTATTTAATTCATTCCATGATAGGCATACATTTTGTACAAATTTTTATGCTGCACTCTTAAAAATAATGTTACACCTTGATAAATTAATGCACTCAGAATTTTATATTAAGCAAACTAAATATACTAAATCGAGAGTGAACTTTGTTCTTTATCGACACTGTAAATAATCTGGTAATAAACATTACCGAAAAGCACAAGTATATGACTCTACCAAAGTGGTAATGATAAGTTGTACCGTGTGGTAATGGCTTAGTAATAATGTTTTACCATCATGGTAACGAATTTTTACTACCTGGTACAATATTATTATCAAATTTATTACCGAGAAATCATTACCTGCGTGACTTTACCGAATTATTAAGAGTGGAGTTACTCTGGATTTAGCATAGTTCACTCAAGTTAAGTGTGCATTTATGTACGTTTCAAACAGAGAACACTATTTTTAAGAGTGAAATTGAATTGCTATGTAAACCTGAAATTACAGCCCCGCCCGTAATCCCTGTATTCACACGAAAAATTTTTGATGTCTAATAAATCCAATCAATGAAAGTTGTGCATGCCAAGATGTTGTCAGCAACAATTGAGGCCTACATAACTTCATTGTCTAATTATCTGTACATTCATACCTACTTGAGTCTTATGTGGGCGGTTTCGTATTAATATTTCCGTTTTAATTAAATAAATACTTAATTATCCTTTAACTAAATTTCACACCTTTCAGTCCCTGTGTGGGACCGTGGGATAATTGAGACAACAAATTTACTTATTATGTTTTGCAAATACCATTATTTGAAAATTAAAAGACGTGTAGCCCATACCTAGCGTCACACTGATTCGATTCTTTGACAAAAAAACCTGATATTAACATATACATATATTTGCATAATTTTAGTTTTCCTCAATTATACAGCACTGATTTGTATCATTTACACCTTCGATATTGCCGTCAGCTTGTTCCTATGTACATGTATTTATATTGTACAAAAATTTAACTTGCATTTATTGCAGTGTTAATATTTAGTATAAAATTCACATATAGAAATTCCATTGAACCCGAGTATGTAGTACATACGCAGGAAGTTACTTTAAGGTGTAATTTTGTAATTGGATATGAATAATACTACCCATTCCACAGTTCAATAGCTAAAATTGGCTTGGACGCAAGCAGTGAAATTCTTGCTTTAACCGAGATCATGAGGGTATTCATTATTTCTCCGTGTCCTTACATAATTTAGTAAATTACTTTACGAAGAAAAAACAATGGGTCAAGCTTCGTAAAAGTCGTAATCTTATTTAGTAACGTGATTTTCGATGATAGGGTCTTACAAAATCTCATTTTAAATTTACATTTAAATTTTAAATTTTAAAATTACATTTTCAATTTAATTCTCTTCAGCAATCAGTGCCGCGACAAGCAAATGAGGGGCCTGGATTTTTGAGGAATTGTAGGGCCTTTTTTTATAACCATTAAAATTTAATACCAGTCCGGCCAAACTCAGGGTTTTGACTGGTAGAAACTAACATTACCAGGAAAATGGGAAGAATTATATACGTTTTTCCCATTTACCTTGTTCAAAACTTAATCAAAATCGCCAAATTAAGATCTTCAGCAAAATCGATAAATGGGCAATAAATTGAATTACACATGTGTGTTATCAATTTGGGGTAACAGAGCAAAGATGTAAGGTGATTATCTCCTATTTCGACCGAATTTTTATTGTTGAAGCATTAAAATAAACGGACCAATATTTTTGCATTTTCTAGAATGTGTGTTGTATTTTCGATTGTGGCGGAATTATTAAATTTATTAAATACAATTTTCGAATTTTAATCCGATTTCAAAAATTAAGCACAATTCTTGCTTAAAATTACTCCCCTGTAATTATTAAAATTCATTTTTTGAAACTTTTAAAATCTGAAAATTTCTTGCTACATCTGTATCATCAAAAATGCAAAAAAAAATTAAACAAAATTAAAACTATTTTAAAATGATTATAAACGTTAGAGCGTCTTGAGAAACACTGATTTTGGCTGAAATTTTATTTTAAAATTCAGCCACAAACGAAAACTCGCATTCTGGAAACCGCAAAAATGCAGTTCCTCTTATTTCTGAGTGTGGACAATTTAAAATTAGTCAGGTCAAAATCCGAGATAACTACCACATGCCTATCAATTTTTAGTTCTTGTTTCGCTGCTAGGAATTTGCTGTACTAAAAAAATACCGGCCTGAGTTTGACATTTTAAACATCTTTAAAAATTAACATTACTAACAATTGAAGAAATATTGAATTGAAAAAAAAATTGAAAAAAGTTCAGGAACATATGAAACTTATGTGTAGTAATATGCTCAGGTCGAGAAATTTTTGAAGTTCGCTAAATATGCATGAGTAATAAAATGGTATTAACACGCTTAAGGAAAATAAAAGGTTAAACTGGGCGGAATTCACCAAGATACAAATTTGAAGCACGAAAATATGGATTCCTCAAGGACTAAATACATACTTGGGCCTAAACAGTGATGGCCCATCACTGATGGGAAGCCTCGGGCTCTTTGATCAGTTTTTGTGGCCTTAGGCCTCTGCATTTTTTAAAGATTTTGAGGTCGAGGCCAGTGAAGTCTGAGGCCTATATTTTGAAAACTAGAGAGGCAGAGATCTGCCTCGCTGAGGCGTAAGATTTCCGATGTGAGGTCGAGGCCGTGTGAGGTCTTTGGCTTCACTCTTAAATGGAGAGGCCGATCCTGATTGGCTGAGGAGACCTTTCGAGGCCTAGGCTTAAATTGTGAGGTCAAGGCCTTGAAATTTCTCGGAATGCGGGGTCGTAGGCCTCACTTTATTCTTCTAGAGGCCTTGTGAGGTTCCACACCACGAGGCCTTTTTTCCCACCTTTATCACTGTTTCCCTCCTTTTCTGGTAAAAAGAGTTTTGAATGGAAAAACAAACCCTACGTAACATGGCTAAATGAAAAAATTTGAATTTGTAATAACTATGGTTAGAATGGATTCAGATCAACTCACTATGCAATTGAAACTAGCATAAATTAAGCTCTTCATTAAAACTTCATGATTTCGACAGTTTTATCATGAAACCCCATTTTATCAAGTGTATGGTCAGGCCCGGTACGGCCCTCCGGGCCGTACGGCCTGGAAACCATTATCCAGTGAAATCCACCTTTATCGCGGCACTGTCAGCAATGAGTATCTCAATTATAAATGGATTTAAGCGTTTTGGAAGTGGGACCTTGGTTCTGAACGATATAAACGTCAATGTTTCCAGTGGAAAAATGTGAGAAAACGTTATACATACTTATTAAGTAAATATTTATAATTGTGTTTGGAGTGCAAGTATTTAACGACATGCAAGAATTAACTGCAAGAAAAGGTGATTTCTTCCAGGTACGATAATTTTATACGAGAGTCTCGTATTTTGACCTGCGAGAAATGTCCAGCGCACGAAACCAATTTCCTCTGTTAATGTTTATACAAGAATATGGCGTCGCGCATGTTTCGAGCACTTTCTTGTAGTATTTTGTACCTTGCATTTCTTGCGTTTCTTTCGAATGGAAGAAATGTAGAAAACCCGCAGGAAACGAAACTCTGATTTACATATGCATTCAGATATATGTAATGTATGTATATTAAGATTGCTAAATATTTTAGTAGAATTAACAATAAAAATGTACATACTTATTTATTTGCAGATACGGTCTTATCGGTGCTAGTGGTTGCGGGTAAGTGGATATTTACATATATTTAGTTTAATGTTATCAATATAAATATTTACATATTCAGACTTAAAAATGTATATCCTTTATTATCCAATTTTATATATTAGCAAAACCACCTTGCTCTCATGTATCGTAGGATTACATCGGCTTGATTCTGGCCAAGTCACCGTGCACAGTGAATCCCGTCCCGATAATCTTGGAAACTTTTGCGGATACATGCCTCAAGTAAATTTTCAATTAAATTGGTAGCAATGCACATGCAAAAATGAATGTATAACTTTGCATTAGGAGACAGCCCTTCTAGATGTCTTAACAATCAGAGAAGTTCTTAAATATTTTGGATTACTTTATGGAATGAAAACGCAAGATATTGAGAGTAGGACACATTTCCTCTCTGAGATTCTTGACTTGTATCAACTAGACGCAGTAATTAATACGCTAAGGTGCGAGTTTATTCATACATAATTGACAAAATGACCAACAGTTTGTGCAAAAATTGCCGGGTTGAGAAACCAGCCGGAAAATTAGGTAAGTTGTTCAATCAAGTGGGGGCAAAATGTGGTTTGGTTAGCGAGCCTCGAATATGCAAATTTATCTCTTAATAATGGACCAAACTACCTTTATTTCCGAGTGGTTTCTCAAAAGACAACTTTTGTATCAACACGAGCGATATGCAAATGTCAATTTAAATTTAACTTTGAATAGCGGTGGGCAAAAACGGAGGGTGTCCATGGCCGCGGCAATGATTCATAACCCGCCCCTACTCGTGCTTGGCGAACCCTGCGTTGGATTAGATCCACTCTTGCGACAGAGGTACATACAGCATTTGCATATTTGTGGATTTATGTTTATGCAATTCATTAAGGAGGAAAATGCGTGGGATTTATAATTCACAGGATTTGGGAGTACTTATCCAAGATTTCTGGGGAACAAGGAAAAACCATAATAATTTCGACCCACTATATCGAAGAGACAAGATTTTGTGACAAGGCATGTGAACTAATACTCTTAAAAATGGTGTGACCGTTTTGAAAAGTGAACGTTCTTTTAATTCTAAATTAAGAAAACTATACTAAATCCAGGCGAAACTTATGTAACTTTTTATCAAATTAGAGCTATTGTGGATTTGTGGTATAGTTTACTTTAAATAGAATTAAGAGTCCCATTCACTTTTCGAATGAGTCACCCTATTTTTAAGAGTGTAACTTCTTAAAGATTGTTCATTAGTTCACCTTGTGTTGGTAAATTGCCAATTAAATACGCACAGATCGGATTCCTACGAAGTGGTCGTCTCTTATTTGAGGGAAGTCCAACTTCATTGTTGTTTTTGTATCAGTCCACAAACTTAGTGGATGCCTTCACAAAGCTTTGTAAAATTGATGAAAACTCAAAAAACAATCCTTTTGACAATTCTTTTGATGAATTGGCCGATGTCATTATACTCAAAATTATTTGCCTGATGAATATAATGTAAATCTTCCTAGCAAAAGTGGCCCGTCTTTGAATATCAGACGCAACCATGGGACTATTTTGCAAGCATTAATTTCCAAGTGGTGGCATCGTAACCGAAGGGATTGGAGGTTTGCGTAGATTATTGATTTTATTTAAGCGCACTTTTAGAAATCCACGATTAAATAACTAAACGGTATTCATATGTATTTACATAACTCTACCATAGTGAGACTGATAAGTACAGACAATTCTGGGTAAAAATATGTAACTTGGTACTAAAAATTTACCATATCGGAGGCAGATTTTTATGGACGGGTATAATTTTATTACCACGTGGTAGCAACTTTAATACTTAGAAATCAATACCTGCGTGGCTACATGTAACAGATTTCTAAGACTGCGTGAATGTGACATGATACGATTTTTTTATTCGACTTGTGACGAAATTTGTTCGACAGATTGTATCTCGGACAACTTGGAGTTCCAATAATTTGCGTTTTCATCGCTCAAAATATAATCGGCTGTGAACCCCGTGGAATCCCGACAAGTGTCATTTACAATAATGCTAATTTGACGGAATTCAATAATATCTGTAAGGATACAGACAGATATTCGAACTCTTCGAGCGAATGCTTCTCAAACATTGGAATTTGCAACTTTCTTGATAAACTGGCCGACAAATTTAATTTGGTATGTTATTCTGCATTGTACATATATTCACCTTTGAACATAAAACCGCACTCTCAAAAATAATGTTACCTTTTGAGAAGTAAATGAACTTTGAATTCTGTATTTTAGTGTAGAAGTTTAATTATCTAATTTACTGTTAAATTGTACTGAATCCAGAGTAATATTAACTTGATCTAGAGTAGAATTTACTCCGGATGTAGTTTGTTTAGGTAATTTTGAATTTAGACTGCATTCACTTTTCAAAAAGGTGACATTATTTTTAAGACTATATCATACACTCTCTATCTTATCACATATTTATGTATTTATGCAGATTCCCACAGAATCATATGAAGATGGCATCGAGCAAATAAAATCTGGAGAGACTGTACTTCTCATAAATTTTCCAACAAATTACGAAACCCATTTCAAGAATAGATTGGCATATCTGCACTATTCAAGTAATGAAACTGTTCAAGGATCAACAACCTCGGTACGGATGATCGAATCTGGTACGATTTTTTAGCTTGTGAACGTACTTGCATATTTGCATGCATAATTACTGTTCATCCAATATTAATAGTCGCAATTTCTTCCAAAATTTTCTGAGAGATTATTTGGTTGCTAATTAAAAAATAAAAAAAATAATCTGCCAGGTAACCTTTCAGAATTTTTTGCGACTAATAATACTGCATGAACAGTAGAATATGCATAGTGATAGACTTGACGTTTTTCCATAAATACTTTACAGGTTCGATTATATCCGTATGGGCACGAAAAACTATTTTTGAACAGTATATTCTCTACGTCTCGAATGCCTTGTCGTCGTGCTCCATCAGTGACCACATTATTAAGCCACCACTTCATGTAAGTAAATATTTAAATTCTTAAAAATTTCACACGTAAAAATTTTGAAATTCAAAATTTTGTTCCGGACTTATCTAAAATTATTCATCGTTTTAGTTTCGGGAAATCTACGGAAGTCTGGAGGCGTTCGACTTAATCCCATAAGATAATGATGATTCTTCGTATCGTAAAATATGTACATATTTACATAGTTTACGAAGAAAAAGCTTCGTAAATATCGTAATATAATTTTTAACGACAAAATTTTACGACGTTTACAAAATCTCCTAACCCTCGTAACTTGCTTATTTTACGATACTGCAAATCCTAAGGATACGAAGGAATACCCTCAATGATAATTATGCATTCTTAAATTTCTGCAAATTCATCACATTTTTGCACACTTTTTCAGGCTAATGTTTGTACTTCCCATGTGTATCGCAGTTATCTGGGTGGAGGACAAAGTTTCCGGGCTTGAGGACAGGGATTACGTGACCGGCGTGTCTCTCTGGCACCGCCTCCTTGCCAACGCGGTGACACAAAGTTTCGTGATTTTTGCCCAAATTGGAATTTTCTTTGCTCTGTTTTGCGGCGTGTATGGCATGGTGATTTGTGGCAGTTGGGTACTCGCAGTCGGTTTGGTCTATATGATCGCTCTGTGCGGAATGACGATAGGTATGCATGGAAATCTGTACATGTTTAATCCTTAGACAGCATTTGACAAGTAATTTGAAATCGTGCAAAAATTTCGTGCAGGGTTTTTGATCAGCACTGTATCGTAAGGAGTATTAGAGACTGAATGTATGCTAATTGTGTTGACGCTGAGCCAAACATTTTCATCAGGTATGTACATACATTCACACACACTCTAAATAAAAATCAGCAAAATTAACTCACAATGATTTTGATGAAACCACGATAATTCTGTAGCCTTGGGTAAATAATTGAACACATGTTTCAGGATTTTTCATAATGCTCAGTTTAAACAAAGTTATGATGGTATATGTAAATGGCCGAAATTCGCATTTTTCTCGTGAAGTTTTTCGTTTTTTTGAGGTATGGGGTAAAAAATAGGATGGTACAACCAAAAGGTAAAACTTAACCAATGTTGGACAAATTTTACACATCTTTTTATAATTTTGCACAACGTTGTACCAATTTTACCTTTTGGGTCACCCTCTTTATTACCCAGCCTTGAGTAAATCCTATTCATTTTTATTTAGAGTGCATGCATATTTTTAAGTAAAATTTGATTAAGCGGCATCCTGGGCAGAAGAAATCTTACACATACACTTTTAGAATCCAATATTAAAATAATACCGAGTCGGATTCATATATCCATGACTCTATCAGATATTGATATCGTGGAATAATACATCGATATTAAAGTTTTGCTGTATCGGTTGTAAATTTTTACACACCGGTATAATAATAATTTCAAGCAGTAGAAACTTTAATACTGAGAAATAAATACGTGCCTGACCATACCAGATTTATGTATATACATATTTGTTATTTTTAATTTACAGGAATTTTGTATTCTACAAAAATGGGTGCGCTTCTTGTCCGTCAAATTTTCGAATGGATGCCTTTAACTCGTACGATTGAGGCGTTACGATCAATTTGTACTAGAGGATGGGATCTTAGCCATCCTACCGTTTGGACCGGATTTCTACCAGCGATGGGATGGATATTAATTTCGATAATGCTTTCGTTTTTGGCGAGTCGAACAAGATACAAGTAAAGCTAAAAGGTTTTACAGCTTTTAGTATTTTTAATCTACCACACTTTTAATTGAAATCACATTGTTAAATATATTGGAATCCCATAACTTGAATTTCCAGTACTTTAATTAAATTTAGAAAAACTGTAAACTTGAAATCCGTACTACTTTTCAAAATTAAATATTTTATTCAATTTGAGAAATTAACTGGGAGATATTTTAGGAAAAATTAGTTATTTCATGATAATCTTATATGGATATTTTTCTAATAATTTAGTATTTTCATATTATCGGTATGTAAATACACTGAATACATCTTAAACATTTGTATATAGAGATCGGTACGTATATTTGATAAAACCTCATTTTTCTCACCTTGTTTGAACTTTCCTAGGGCTGGGATTACATCATCATTTTTAATCCCACATCATTTGATTGGCATTTCAATTGTTGATTTGGAGTCAAATCCAGCCAAATTTGGCTTTCAATTTTATGTAAATGTCAAATCGTTGACAAAAGTAATTGCATCTGATGCTCCTCAAATTGATGGTTTCAATCATCCTTTTGCACCCGGCACTACCCTAAATTCCTTCAATTGATAGCACGTTGTTTATTGATTTCATAAAGAGGGAAGCATATTCTCAAATGGTTGAGTTTGCATTAGAGTAGCTCGTGTTCATTACTTGGGGAGTGGATGTTCTGGTGTATTGTGATTATCTCGTCGTGTCGTGTACAATATTTGTTGTTTGTTAATTAACAGATAAATGTGCATTAATTCTTGTAATAGATTGTAAGTTATTTGTGTACCTAGTAATTACATGACCAGCATAAAATACGTGTATGCAAGCGCAATTGTACTCATGGTACAATTCACCGTGTGCAAAGAGATTAATATCAACAGGGGAAACTTTGTTCAAGTTACACCGGAATTGTCTGGAGGTTTAAGTTAAAAAAGTCAAGCCTACTTGTTCCTTGAATTGAATACCTGTTCATATTCGTTCGTTTGACTGATTAGGACAGTGAATGAAAAATTAATTTCCTGTCATTTGAATGAAAATTAGTGAAGGAGTCTTCATTTTAGATGAATGACTGTGATTGAAAGGATTTTTCACTCCTTTCATTTTTCCCCATGAGCTAATTATATGTAAGAAATGAAGTCAGAAAAAGTGTAATGGGCTTGACAGAAAATGAATGAAAATCTTCACTCATACTTAAATCGAGAAGGCTGAACTTTGAATGAGAGCTAAATTGTTGAACAGGTACATACATATGATGGCCATTAATTTGTTCAAAATCGGAGAGCTTTCCCTAGGAGACTTCCCTTGTATGTGCGAATGTACATACTCTGATCATATGTACATGATACGCAATATATGTAAACTTTGACATGAACAAGCTTTGCACACGAATCTTCCATTTAGATAATAATCAAAATACCACTGGTACAAAACACTTGACACTCGAATAAAAGGTGCCAAATTTCGCTCAATTTACACAGTCATCGTACCAACAAGAAATCATGACATTCCTTAAGTTTTTCGGCATGGTGGTGGCCCTTCTCGGGGTGGCGTCGCAAGTCCGGGGTCACGGCTATATGATGGAACCCATCGCACGAACCTCGATCCAACTAAGGCCCGAGTTTGGGACTGAAATGCCCTACTGGTGGGACAACCAGGGGGTGTGGTGCGGCAATGTGAACCAGGACATGCAGGTTTCCACTTGGGGAGGTGTGGGGATGTTCTCGGAGAAACGACGGCTAACCAGGGTGGGATTTATGATAAGGGAGTTATTGTCGCCAACTATTCGTCAGGCTCGGTGAGAACGTTGTTAAAAATTTTGGGAAGTTGCATGCATGTAGAATGTTGGAAAAATATGTATGAAGAATTCTGAGAAAAGGAGCACTCAACACCTGTTCATATTCGTTCATTCAAAAATTTTGAATTAATTATGCATTCCATAAATTTAGTAGTAAGGACTGAACTATTTTTTATAATTTTTGAATCGACGAATAGGGAAGTAATATTTACACATTCCATATTTATGAAGCATGAATGAATAATTTTAATCATTTTTCACCCTTTTCTTACTGCATGGGGTGTATACAGAAATCAATCTAATAAGGTGTATTTGAAAAAATAAAAAAATGAGTAATTATTAAATATTTATTTTTAAAGTTTGAATGAATGAATAATAAACCGTAGTAACGTTAGAAGTAGCTCACCCTGTTATAATGATTTGGATATAACTTTGCACCAAAGGTGCTGAATAAGCCTACTATAGATGCATGAGCTTCAAACAATTTTGCACCATTGGTGCAGACGAAATGGGGAAATACATGCATAATTGTTATATAATTTTGCACCATTGGTGCTGTTGAAATGGGGAAAATTAAGACACAATTTTGACATGATTTAGAGTTTTTTGGACCCTAGGAAGGGCCAATATATCTTCCGGTTATTCTGCACTTTTGATTCATATTGAGTCAATTCTTTCAATTGTTTGGCACCATTTTGCGTTATCGCTGGTTTGGAACCAATGGTGCTACCAATGTCCTAAAAAATGGACATGGTCCTATCTAATTAGCATCAATTGATGCAAAAAACTCATTAACAGACAGACAGACAGACAGACAGACAGACGGACAAGAGGAATTCAATAGCTCTCATGCTACGCAGGGTGAGCTAATAATGAATATTTTTCCCAATGTTTTTTAATTGAATGAGATTTGAATGAGTAAATATTTTTTGGAACGGTATTTTTAACAAACAGTTGTACGACAAGCACTAAAAAATTACTAAATATTTGAATTTATTTAGATAATTGAAGTCACGACGCACTTCGGGGCTCCTCATTTTGGCTCATTTGAGATCGAAATTTGCCCTTACGAGCAAGAAACGGACATCTGCTTTTACAAAATTCCAATTGTGGGAGGAACCGAAACTGTCCGGATTGATAACAGGATTTGTGTCCCGCATGACCAGGGTGGAACTGAGGTTACGGCCCAGGTCCAACTCCCAGCTGGGGTGACCTGTCGCAGGTGCACGCTCCGGTGGACGTACCGAACTTCGTATCCCGGACCCGCGGGTAAGATAGCAGGGACAAAATGAGACTTATTTATGCACACATCTCAATTTATTTTCTGTATTACAGACTGGGACAATTGTTTGAATCGGGATCCCGTCCAAGTATTCAGAAACTGTGCTGATATCGCTATTTACTGAGAAACTTCTAAAATGGATGCAATAATATAATTACGAGTCAATACTAATAAATACTTATTATTTATGCATACAAGTTGTTTGTATATTCATCTGAAGTTTTTACAAAATGCTTCTTGTTGAAAAACAAATGCATAGACATAACATCCTTAGCATACTATCAAATATGCACAATTACTCAATATTTACAGTGCTGGACAAAATTACAAATCAAATATCTAGGTCTATGAACAGTTAATTTAAACTACTTGGCATTCAGATAATATTCATGATTTTGGCACTGAAAAACTTACTTGAAAATAGTACTGAAGTATTTCCATCCAGAGTAATTAAACATACCGTTAATCAAATGCATCGAATATTGGCGGGCTACTTTAATCAACCATTACATTTTCAAGTGCAACATTGGAAATAAACACATTCACATTACGTCCTCGCTAATAACAAACTCACCGTGTGATACCCAACTCGCTCCACATATCGCAAGAAGTAACCCATCCCCACCCATGCTTAATCGTATCTTTGGACCGTAAAAATTCTAAATTTATGTAGATTGGCTGCAAACCCGCAATCACAGCCCTCTTAACTTTATCATGACCATAAAGTCTCAAAATCTTTACTCTAAACTCATTCGATAGTGTCGACGACTTTGCAATACAACAAACCGCAAAATATTCAAGCATCGTTGACAAAAGGAATACGACCACGGAGAATGCAACAGTTACGAGAGAAATTTCACCATCGGGTAAAAATTGTAGGACAAAATAGTACAAACAAATTGTGGATGATACAACGAAATTAAAATGGTGTAGACATGGTGCAATTAAGTCACGCGCCAAATCCGAATGAAGGATTGCTAATATGCGAAGATTTTTATATATGTTCACCCCCTTTTCGAATCCAACGCCAAGCCGGAAGTTTTGCTGGACGTATTTGATACAAATCGATGAATTCAAGTCATTTATAGCCCCATAAATGACAATAATTCCGTTCAGCATCGATAATACGCAGAGCAGGATTATATAAACGAGAACATTGCACCCAATGCAGCAGATTAGTTGGGTAAAAATTTTAATTGTTGCAGGGTAACTATGAACATATGAATATAGAGGATTTAGGTTTGGTTCTAAAATGCCTGTGATAATTAGGACTGGCGGGAAAAAGATCGCAACGCAGAAGTGGTAAGCGTACAATAGTTTGTCTATCAGAAAATTCCATTTAGTTGTTGGATTCTCCTTTAGCGAAAGTAGTCCTAAATAAAATGAGATCAGTTGAAACTCGATAATTCGACATAGAAATGGGGCAGAAAAGTAAAGGTAAACATGTGTCTTACCTCGTATCTGTGCATCCAAAACGAGTGCACGTTCATAACAAATGACAAGCTCTCGTGAATTGGACGGTTTCGATAAGCACCAAGAATACAGGATGCAAATGCAGACGACATCTGTTGCCACAATCGAACATAAAACAACCTTTGGGTATTCACTTTCTCCTAAGTGTAAGGATGTTAGGAGTTGAAACGTTCGGAGTATACAGAGAGGCAAAACAATCAGGGCTAGGATGCCCGTATAAATCTGGAAGTTTCGAAATTGCCACGCATTTGATCGACAAACCTCCGCCCTCCTAGCTTTCTTGTTCCATGTTATGGTGTAACAGGTGAACAAAGCGCTACGTTGGGTGGAACGGACGGCAAGCCGAAAATGGCGGATAGCGACCTGGTTCCACATACTTTTGTGTTAAATATAATTCTGTAATAATGGTGAGTTGTCGGAAAAGATTGGCACACTTGTCTATGGAATTTAAAGAACCCTGCGTCTTCTAAATGGGCTTGATGATTTCTGCTACATCACGACCGTTTCGAAATGCGTCAGTAGCTCATAGGTTATATAACTTTTAATCAGGTCGCGGGTAAGGCTAATTTTTCAGTTTGTTGTTTACTAGGAAACTAATTGCTCGTAAAAAGGAAACTCGTTTAATTAAGAAACCCAATTAACCCCTGAACGCGCAAAATTAAGGAATACATATTTGTGAGTAGCTCTGATTTGTCTGTTTCTGAGTTGGTAAAATGCATGACATGTATTATGTGAGAACTAAGCTTTATTTTACTTCAGTTCTCCTAGCTAAATGGACAAATTTTGGCTAGCTCTAGCCATGAACCGGAGTCGCATACTCAGCACTTTGACTTAAATTGATCATAAATTGATTATTAATTACTTATTATATTAATTATTATATTAATCGCCAATGAATCATATGAATTGCGAAGCTAGTATTTGTTGAAGGTTAATGTTACAATTGTTACTAATTAAGTTTGTATGTACATATAATTAGTCAGCCCCAGTTCTAAGAAAGGATCAAGGATAGATTCCAACCTTTTCTCTTAGATTAATGAGAAGCGCAAAATACAGGGATTTCCCAGGTGATGAGCTAATGCTTTGTCTGCCATCAAGTGTCCAGAAATCCATAAGTACACATGTCTACCAAAATCAATTTGCACCCTCGAACCATAGATAGCAGATCAGGTGTAGAAGCACTTGCTGCAAGGCTTAAGCCATGAGATTTTAGACGAACCTACATGTACACCATGTCCAGCACAAAAATTCTTATTTGATATGGGTCATCTCGAAGATATTCAACTAAGCAATCATTCGATACCAGTTTAAACCCTGCCATATTTGTAATCGCCTTCAGAAGCAATGGAATTGAGGTCCATCGCCGATATTTCATTCAATCAACCTGGCATTTATACTATCAAGGAGCTATCAGGGGGATATGTTATTGGGACAGAAACAAATGTAAAAACAAACCCGTGTGGACGCTTCCCATTATCTCACGCGAAAAAGGATCCGTCTTAGATCTATCCCAAATCAGGCTCGGAAATATGTTGAGGGAGGTAACTTTAGACCCATTTAAAAGATATTTAGAAATCACAATGACCATTATAGTTTGTATACTACGTATAATTCAGTGCATAACCATCTCCGTAGACGAGAATTTGATATTCAAATTCTTCCTACCCAGGATGGAAAAATTACCCATCTCAACCCTCACATCAACTCAAAAAATAAATCTTCGGAAGAAACGAGCAAGACAAGAATAGATAAAAATTCATGTGCTACGTATATTAGTAGAAGTGAAAGGCTTAAAGAAAGAGATTCAGGAAATAGAAGAGACTTTGTTACAAATTAAAGTGAATAAAGGGGAAAAAGATATACAATATTGTATGAACAAGAGGTAGAGCAAGCAGGTGAGGCCTTTAACCATCATCTTTATGGAAATCAGTTGTATAATTATAGGCAACAATATTAACTAGCACTGGAAATAAACCCAGACTTTACCCCACCAGTGTTAAACATAAACCATAAAATCCAGCAAAAATTCAATGGACAAAAGTTAAATAAAGATCACATAGAATGACCCTTTGAAAGTGCTACACGAATTTAAAATAGTTAAGACAGTGAAATACACAGAACCATTGACGTTATATAATAATAAAGTTTCAGTGTGCAATAAAAAACAAATCATAAAGTTCCAAATAAACTACTGCCACATTTCCGTAAGAAAAAAGACGAGACAAAAAATTGAAAAATATTGTTGGAACTATAACCCCTTAAATCTACAAATGGGAGATGATTTTCAACCTGACTTACCGTCAACCCCTGAGGAGGACCTTTACATATCATCTTCATCTGAAGACGAGGAGGAGGACTGGGGGAAAGCAACAACGATGGAACCCAAGCTTTCCATGCCCTCATCCCCAGTATGGGCCGACCTAACAAATTATTCTAGGAATTTCATATGGACTTTATCAACAAAAACAGAGCATCTCTCTTTGACTTCCCTGCCATGACACCCGATTAAACGATCTGGAAAAATGTTAGAAATTAAGAAGTCTTAAAATTAAGAAATCTTTAGATTTTAAGAAGTGTTAGGAATAAATAAGTGTCAATTAATTATAATTAAGACGTGTTAAAATTAAGGAATCTTATAATTAAGAAATATTACATACTGATAAAATTACGATAAAATTTAAAATTTCGAAATATTTAATCTGGAGATTAAACTAAGGGGCAACGTGTAGGTTAAAATGGAGTTTAATTAAGTTTGTGTGTACATATAATTAAATTTATAAACCACACAATTTATATGTATGTACATATGTCAAACATACGTATAGTAGTAAAGATACGGAATCGATATATACCAGCCCCAGTTCTAAGAAAGGATCAAGGACAGATTAAAACCTTTTCTCCAGATTTCTGGAAACGTAACAATGACAAAGGGACTCTATTGGAGATCAGTCTACATCTACAGCATTGGTTACATTCTTTTAATTTACTGCTGAGAATTTTACGAATTGGACTGTAATTTGGGCATACACAGATAAAATGGTACACATCTTCAACTCCTGATTTATATGAATTACATATTGTGTTGGCGTCCTTCATTCTGATTATATCCTCCTCCACAATTTTACTGCGGATCATATTAACTATTTTATTCACGTTATACTTTAGGTTATTAATGGTTTCTGCATTTACATTGTCCACAAGATCAAAAGATCAAAACAACGAATCAAACTCGTATTTCCTCAAAAAATCAGTCAAATCACGATACCAATAATATTTCATTTTAGATTTTGTATGTAAACTAGTAATTAAATTATTGAGGACTTGTTTCATTGCACTAATTTCTGGGCGTTACAGTACTTTCAGTACAAATTCATGGGATTTTTGATTACACATAATTGTATTGGGTAGCAGTTTGTTTCGAGTCTTGAAAACCATAAAGTAGTGTAATTAGGAAGGTAGAATAACTTTCTAAGAAATTTTGCTTGCAACATGACTAATTTATCTAATATTCCCAAACCCCATATTTGAGAACAATACAGTATGATCGACAGCACTATAAAACCATTCACTGACACTGGAAGTGTTGGTGGATAAAAAACAAAAGTTTAGAAGAATGGTCAAAGACGTCAGAAAACCTGAATTCGTCCAAATTCGTGGCGGACCCTAAGAAAAATTTCCTTGCAAATGAACGCGCTAAATAAAACTATATCCCGCGCCCTTAAACTAAACATCGGACTTATGTCAGTGAGATGTGAGAAATGCTCACGTCAAGTAAAAATAGATCCATAAGAAGCCGGGCGCTGATCACGTGGTACGGGTTTGAAAAATGAAAACAAACATTTTTAAAAGATGAGCAAACTTTAGCAATTGAAATTAAGTAAAGGCCCGTGTCCACACCCCACCAGTCCATATTATTCACACAAATTTCCAAAACAATAATTGTACCCACCATCCTACTTTTGTGATCTTTTTTATTGGGATATGGTCAGAAAAGTGATTTATCCTCCTCCAAGGGTGACATTCCGTGTCAAAAAATTTCTTTTAAGTTATCCAGCAAACTGGGGTATTAGTGAAGCACTCTCGATTCAAAATTAGCCACTAGACGTTCAAGGACGGCTCAGATCCTACTCATGAACCCAAAATAGTAAGTGGGTGGTGAAATCAAAAATTTGTGCCTCCATTTTGGACCAAGAATAAAATTCATCATCACCGAACTTCAACCAAGTTTTAGCACCCTGTACCACCCTGAATTCCTTCAATTGATAGGATAACAAGTTGTTTACGAATTTAATAAAGAGTCAATGATTAAGTGTAGCACGTGAATTACTTAGGGAATGGATGTTCAAGTTAACTGTAATTATGTGGTCGCGTCGTGTACAATATTTGTTGTTTGTTAATTAACAGATAAATGTGCACTAGACTGTCACATTCTTGCAGTAGACACGTAAAGTTATTTCTATATTGCTTGCATGACCAGCACAAAAGACAGATGAGTGCAATTGTACTTATGTACAGTACAATTCACCGTGTGCAAAAGAAATATTTAATATCAACAAGGGAAGCTTTCTTCAAGTTATACTGGGATCGTGTGGCGGGTTGTATCAAAAAACATATAGTCAAAAATAACTAAAATAAGGTATCATATGGGACTTATATTCCCACTGAAATGAAGAGAAATATTGTCGGCAAACTTCGCCTCGATTTTCTTACCGTGGCGGAGAAGATTTTTCAAAAATAGAATGGAACATCTAGCCTAACAGTAGCGGATTAAATTAATACTAGTCTAACATGAATTTAATTAATGGGAAATTTGCTAAAGACAGAATCTTCCAATGGACAAGTTTTTCCGAGATATTTGCATTGGAAGATGAGAAAACGGGTTACAAAGTCGATAAACTTTACACTTTCAAAATTTACTGCACGTTTTCCCCACCTTGTATTCAAAAAATCTCTGCCAAACCTGCCCGTGGGAAGACCTTGCTGTAAATTTCATGAATATAAAATTTGTGTTCAATTACATAGCACCAATTTTTTCAAAATCAGAGAGAACCCCCCCACACGCTATCACTATAAGTTTGCACGTACTCCAGCCTTAACTGATACACAATTTCTGTAAGCTCTGTCACGAACATGTTTTGCACACGTAACTTCGCTTGAGATACAAAATCTACATACATGCCACTCATCTTGGTACATAAACACTTGAAAGTTGAATAAAAAGGTGCAAAATTCGGCTCAATTTGCACAGTCATCAGACATCTAACAAGAAACCATGACATCCCTTAAGTTATTCAGCGCGGTGGTGGCCCTTCTCGGGGTCGCAGCCCAAGTCCGGGGTCACGGCTATATGAAAGAACCCATCTCTCGAACCTCGATCCATCAAAGGCCCGAGTTTGGGACCGAAATGCCCTACTGGTGGGACCACCAGGGGGTGTGGTGCGGCAATGTGAACCAGGACATGCAGCTTTCCACGTGTGGGAGGTGTGGAGATGTTCTCGGGGAAACGACGGCAAACCAGGGTGGGATTTATGACAAGGGAGTTATCGTCGCAAACTATTCGTCGGGCTCGGTGAGACACGTTTTCAAAAAAAACTTGGAAGAGATACATATGTAAAAAATATGCGTATATAATTTTTGACCAGTTTGAATTTTGGGAAAAACGAGCACACCTGTTCACATGCATTCATTAAATTTTTTAAATCAATTATTCATTGAACACTGAGTGAATAATTTTTGTTCAATAAATTTTGACTGTATGAATTTTTAATATCTAAATATTTATTCATTGGTTTTCATGAAGAATGAATTATTGAATTATCCATTAGTAATTTTTCCCCATATGCTGAACAGTGTTCAGCACATGGGGTACCACACATGGGGGTACATTGAGAAAACCATGAACTAAGGCAAATTGTGGATAAAATGAATAAAAAATGGATAATGAAGAAATATTGGTTTTCAAATTTGGACTAAATGAGGAATTAATGAATAGTTTTTCCGACTTTTTAAATTGAATGAATTTCGAATAAATGCATGTGTTGTATGAATCTTTCTGGAACAGTTACCTGTATAAAAAAGGTAACTTTTTAATTTTGCATTTTATCTTTGAATTTATTTAGATAATTGAAGTCACAGCGCACTTCGGGGCCCCACATTTTGGCTCATTTGAGATCGATATTTGCCCCTATGAGGAGGAAACGGACATCTGCTTTTACAAACTTCCAATTGTGGGAGGAACCGAGACTGTCCGGATTGATAACAGGATTTGTGTCCCGCATTGGGAGGAGGGAACCGAGGTCACGGCTCAGGTCCAACTCCCGGCTGGAGTGACCTGTAACAGGTGTACGCTCCGGTGGACGTACCGAACTTCGTATCCCGGACCAGCGGGTAAGATGAGAAAGCTGGGGCACGGTTAGACAAGTGTATACACATACATCTTCATGCATTTTTTTGTATATGTCTGACAGACTGGGACGATTGTCTGAATCGAGACCCTGTCCAAGTTTTCAGAAACTGTGCCGATATCGCTATTTACTGAGGAACTTCAAAAATGGAAAGAATCAAATAATTTCGAATCAATAAACACTTATTATTTATGCAAAATATGTCTGCATCTGAAGTTTTTGTAATATGTTTCATCTGGAATATACTGCAGCGTACATAAACATAAACACAGCATGTTAACAATACTATCCAAAACAATATTTACGATTTGCTACCCAATATTTGCATATACATAGGTCTACGTTACTATCCAATACATCACTTGCAAACATTTATGAGCATCAAATAGCATTTAATACTTTACAAAGATGCAAAACAAATTGCAAGATCGATTTATGAGTACTCGAATTACAATATTTTGCCTTTAGTACATACATATGTACATTTATGCTAAAATATATTTGATAACAAGCGTACTTATTTGTGGAAAGAGTATCTAAACGTTATTTAAACCGAATATAATAGGGTTATGTTCATGTCCGATTCTTGCAATTATTTTCATGTGCAATAAACAACAATGCAAATAAGCACTTTCACATTACTTCCCCGCTAATAACAAGCTCACCGTGTGATACCCAACTCGTTCTACATATCGTAAAAAGTAATCCATCCCCACGCCATTCTCCATAGTATCTGCGGACCTTAAAAATTCTAAATTTATGTAGAGAGGCTGCATCCCCTTAATCACAGCCCTTTTAACCTTATCATGACCATAAAACTTCAATATCTTTGTTCTAAATTCATTCGACAGTGTAGACGCTTTTGCAATATAGCAAACCGCAAAAAACTCAACAATTGTTGCCAAAAGTAGTGTGACCAAAGGAATTGCAACCGTGACGAGAGAAATTTTCCCACCTGGTAAAAATTGTAGGACAAAATAGTACAGGGCAATAGTTGATAAGACAACAGTATGAAAATGGTGGAGATAAGGGACAACTAAATCACGCGCAAAATCTGACTGAATGATGGCTAATATTCGGAGCTTTTTATATATTTTTATCCCCATTTCGAATCCTAGTCCAAGTCGGAATTGTTGCTGGACGAAGTTTAATCCAATAGATGAATTAAGGCCCTTAATAGCCACGTAGATGACAATAACTCCGTTGAGCATGGACAGCAAGCAGAGTACGAGGATACCAACGAGAACATTGCACCCTATGCAAGAGATTATGTGGGTATATATTTTAATCAGTGTGGGATAATACTGAACAAAATAATATAGGGGATTCAGGTGCGGTTCTGTAAGGCTGAGGTAAATCAGGATTGGAGGGAGGAAGTAGTTTACACAGAAGTAGTAAGCATAGACTAGTTTGTCTACAAGAGCATCTGATTCAGTCGCTGGATTCTTCCTTGTCGATAGTTGTTCTGAATAAAGTAAAATGAGAATTAGGTAGGTAGAATAAGTTCCTTGTTCAAAAAAGATTTGTTCATTCAAAATTCATTCAGTTTGAAAATTTGTAAAAATTTTATCACTATTCACTAAAATTTTTAAAATAAGTATTACACATCATTCAGTTATAATTGTATCCCCAATTACTCTGATTAGATGGGTATCTCCTTATACCCCATGCATAAGGAAGAGAAATGAAAGATTGTTCATTTCCTATCTAGTAGTATGAATGGAATTCATTTATTGATTTCTCTTTCACTCAGAATTTTTTGAATATTATACGCAATAGTCGTACATGAAACTGAGAAATGAACAACTATTCATTCTTGACTGAATAATTAGGATTCAGTGTGAATTTGGATCTTAAAGGTAATATTGTCCATATCGTACCTTGTATCTGCTCATGCAAGACGAGCGCACTTTCATAATATATGACCAGCTTTCGGGGGCTCGACGGTTTCGATAAGCACCAAAAGTACGGGAGGCACATGCAGGTTAAATCCGTTGCCAAAAATGTAGCAAAAAGCACCTTCACGTCTCCGACTTCCCCTTGGTGTATGGATTTTATGAGTTGAAACGTTCTGAAGATACAGAGCGGTAAAACAATCAGGGTAGCGATGGCCGTATAAAGCTGGAAGGTTCGAAACGGCCACACATTGGCGCGAAGTGGCTCCGCTCTTCCAGCCTTCTTGTTCCATTTTATTGTGTAACACGTAAAGAACGCGCTACGTTGGGTGGCGCGAACGGCGAGTCGAAAAAATTTAATAGCTGTGTGACTCCACATGCTTTGTTTTAACTATGATTAAGCAAAATGACTTCTCAGTGCATAAGTTATTGTTCCCCTTTTAAGTGTTCTGGATGAGGAATTGGTAAAAGAACTGACCACTTGTTTTTTGTTGCAATTTAGAAAGCTAGTATAAAGACGCAAATATTGACTTCGTAACAATTTTGGCTACGTCAGCATTACCGGATCAGGAGACGATCCAGTTAAGAATGCGTCATTAGCTTAGGTTCTAATAGTTTATATAAAACCCTTGATTAGATCGGGTCCTAATTAGTAAAACAAATTCTTTGGTGGGTTCTTCTTAACTAAATTGTAATTGTTCGAAGGAAGGAAACTTGTTTAATTTAGAATACCAATTAAACCAGGTACGAAAACAATTGTTGGATGTACGTAGGTAGGTCTAACTTGTCTATTTCTGAGTAGCATGATTGTGTAGCGGAGAACTGAGCTTTATTCTAACTCGTTAATCGTATTTTAATGGAGAAAGTTATTGGCGAGAATCTGAATTATTCAGTAGTTTGAGTTAATTTACGAACAAATTATATGCATGACGAGCTGTGTATGTATGACTTATTAAGGTCAGCAGTATTGCAACAATTATTGATTCATTTGAAAGTCCTTAATTATGTCGTTTATTCATGATGTTTAAATTTTGGTCAATGTCAAAAAAATTTGTTTCATTAAAGCCTTCAAACTTGGGCCCCTTGGGGGTTCTACTTCCACCCTACGCCATGAATCTGTATAGCAATCTGCTGGTGTAATATAGATTCATGCCCTACGCATACCTGTGTAAGAGAAGTGAGAGACGTAACGAAAAACGGTACTATTTAGTCAGAAAATTTGGGACTCACAAATGCAACTTATTCCTTACATGAAACACTAATGAACTTCATGAAATGGCAGAAACATATAAAATTATCTGGATTACTTTATTTTTCAGAATTGACTCATGCATGGTACAAAAAAAGCTCAATATTTCACATAATTACACGTATGTATGCAGGAAAACCTGACTACTTTTTCGCATTTTCCTCGTTTTTTAGATTATTTTACGAATTATTTCTTAAGGGTTAGGGTTTTTAATGTTCGACTCCTTTGTAGTCAGCTTTTCATAAAACTATCTATGTTATTATGAGAAATTGGTTTGAAGTACTAGTTCTTGTTTTCAAAATTCTGAAGGTCTATTTGCCTTTTGTGATGAATAGGAAAAATTGGAGAAAGTAAGGGCTGCAAAATCTATTGAAGATATTGCTACATTTCGTTTCTACATTTCGTTTGCTACGGTTTATTATTTTCCAGCCAACAGCAAACTCACCGTGTGATACCCAATTCGTTCCAAATACCGTAAAAAATAACTCATCCCCACCCCATTCTCAATCGTTTCCACTGATCTAAAAACCTCCAAGTTTATCGAAACTGGCTGCAACCCTGCAGTCATGGCTCGTTTAATCTTAACATGACCATACAATTTTAAAACCTTGCTTATAAACTCGTTCGATAATATGGACGCCTTTGCGGTATAACAGACCGCAAAAAACTCAACTATCCCTCCTAAAAGTAACATAGCTAAGGAAAGAGTAACAATTATGTGGAAAATTTTACCCCTTTGGAAAAATTGTAAAATAAAATAGTACAGGGCAATCGTTGAAAAAATGACGAGATGAAAATGGTGGAGACAAGGCACCATTAAATCCCGCGCCAACTCGGATTCAATGATCGTCAAAATGCGCAGATTTTGATAGATTTTGATCCCCGTTTTAAATCCAATTCCAAATCTGAACCGCTTCTGGACGTAATTTACTCCGATTGATGAATTCAAATTATTGATGGCAACATATGTAATAAAGATTCCATGTATAACAGCTAATAAGCAGAGCACGGAGACGGAAACAAGAGTATTGCACAATAGACACGACATTATTTGGACAAACACCTTGACAGGGATGGGGTAATGTTGGACAAAGAAATATAGAGGATTGAGATGTGGTTTGAAAAAGCTGAGGTAAATTAACAGTAAGGGAAATAAGAAATCCAGGCCAAAATTAAAAACCGTGAGTAGTTTGTCCTTCCGGGTGTAGTTGGACGCATTCTTAGGTTTCCTCATTGGCGCGAAAAGTGCTAAATTTGAAAAGATTGTAGATTTTAAATCATCCGTAAGATAAATTCTCGTTTTTATGGCACCATAACTTTATAAAATAACTTGCATGTGTAAAATCATGTACATATGTATCTAAATATATATGTTAGTACAAGCAAATTTTACTTTATAGTCTTAAAAATCATGTTATTCTTATTGAAAGTAATTGCACACTTAACTTAGAATTTAGTAATCCGTACTAAATCCAGAATAACGTTAACTTTATCAAGAGTAAAGTTAAGGTTAAGAGTAAGCGAAATCCTAAAAACCTTTATCGTTTCTAAGATTTCGCCTTTTATTTACGTGGCTCACCTTCCATCTTTCTATCCACAAAGAGAGTAGTTTCATAACACCTGACAAACTTTTTAGGGAACCCTGGTTTTGATAAGCACCACAAGTACGGGATGGCAACGCAGACCACATGCGTGACCACGGCTGTGCAGAAAAATAATTCCAAATCTTGAATTTCCCCTAATTTCGTGCATGTTACGAGTAGGAAAATTCTCGCTATAAAAATAGGTAACACTATCCCGGCCATGATTCCGCTGTAAATCTGGAAGGTTTTAAAATGTCACGAATTTTGAGAGCAGGCCTCCGCTCGGCCGCTTTTCTTGTTCCATTTTACCATGTAACAGGTGAAGCAGGCACTGCGCTCATCGCGGCGGATAGCGCTACGAAAATAGCGAATAGCCGCGTCGTTGAACATAAATAATTAGTCGAAAAATAGATATATCACGGTAAGAGACTGATTTTAAACTGGAATTTCCTGACAATAGGAGAAATGCACCTT